AGGGTCCTGCCTGCTGCGAATGATCGACCGAAGTACCTATTTTGAGATACGAACTCTATATTAATATAACGCACTTCACAACAGAAATTCACAAAAGAGAATACTTAAATCCCCAAGTTCCCGGTGCGTGTACGTCCAATAGAATATCCTAAGGTCCGCTTACAGGTTTGGGAATCGCTTCCAATCGTACGGTTATCGCTAATCCCCAAACTTCGAATTATTGAATCGGAACATCCGAGGCTCCGATTCACGATCCGCGAATTCCTATAGGTTTCTAAGAGTACCTAGATCAACATACTTCAATTTGGAAACGATCCAACGCTTAGAACCTATCGAACCTGGATAACACACAATATGCGAAATTCGTTCGATAGTCAAACGACATCCAAATTAAGATTCGTAAAATCATACGCACTCGTGACAACCTAAGGATCTCATCAAGAAAAAAGCAACTTCACCAGCCTTGCCCACGCGCCGGCAGAGATGGGTGTGTAGAGAAATTTCCGGCGACGGAAAATCTCCACACCAACGCTCACCCTTCCTACCCTAGCTTCTTCTCAAGGTCAGGATCACTTTCTTCAACTACCACAAGGTCCAATTTGTACTGGAACTGGCCGGAATTTCAAATTGAAAACCGGCCAAAACCTAGCTTCCAAAATCAACTTCCAAACTTCAAAATCGTTCCAATCCAACCCCATAAACAGCTAAAGCAGATAAAATAGCTGAGAATCCATACCTTACTCGACTGAATTGGTGAAGAATCGAAAGATAACGAAGATGGGAAAATCTGTCCAAGAACCGGCCTGTTTCTCTGCACTTTCCGGTGGGTTGCGGCAGTTCCCGGGGTGGAGATGGGTCGGGAATAGACAAGGAGGAGGTGGCTGTTCGAATGGGACCATTCTTGTCGGACGGGGTGGTCGGAAGTGGTGGCGGTGTGGTGATTTCTGTTCGGTGAACAGTAACAGGGGAGGAGGAAATCGCACAGAGGGAGGAGAACTGCGGAGAGAGAGAGTGAGTGAGGTAAAAGTGAAAAAAAAAATCTGATGTTTACCAAACTTTTCGAAATAATTACGGTTCCGCCATCGAGCTTAATTTGATGGCCAAAACTTCGTTACAATTCCGATTCAAGCCTACCGTATGTCTACGGTTTCATCTCAGTACCACCTACGCAACCAAACCACTCGTGGTCCCGAAATCCTTCCGGATAAGAAAATGACCAAAATTACCCTTAACCCAAGGGTAAATTCATAATTCTCTTAATTTAATTAAAATTAGAAATAAATTTGGAGTCGGGGTGTTACATTGCTTCTGCTGCACTTATGTATTCTGCCTCTATCACTTCTCAATTTTTTCAGTTTATAACCACTTTGCAATTCCACAGTGGCTTTGAATTTCTTAAACACAGTTAGAGCTTTAGACTTGTGCCTTAAGAAATAGACCCAACACATCCTTGTGCAATCGTCTATGAAAGTGAGAAAAAACCGATTTCCAGCTTTGGTAACTGTCTGCATAGGACCACAGATGTCACTGTGACTGAGTTCTAATGGAGTTAGTGCTCTAGTGGTAGCCTCTCTTGGAAATGCTACTCTACACTGCTTGCCTAGAACACACCCCTCACACACCTCTTTAATCCCTTTAATTTCTGGTAGTCCTACTACCATATCTTGTTCTTTCAACAGTTTCAGACTGCTCATATTGAGATGTCTAAACCTTCTATGCCAAAGTTCAGTAGAATGATCTACACTTGCTCTATAAGCTAAGTGCATTTCAGCCTGCAATTTCATGGGAAAACTTCTATTACCTCTCATTTGTACCTTTGCAACCAGATTTGAATGAGAGCTGTTATTGTAGATTTTCACCTTGTGATCTCCAAATACCAAATAGTAGCCGTGCTCTATCATCTGACCCACACTGAGTAAGTTCTCTTTCAGTCCAGGTACCACCATTATTTCTTTGATATATCTCTTGCCTACTTTGGTTTCAACCACAAGAGTGCCTTTGCCAGTTACTTCTAAACGCTGTCCAGTTCCCATTTCAACCTTTGCAGTCACATTTCTGTCAATATCCCCCAACAGATCCTCTTTTCCTGTCATGTGATTAATACACCCACTGTCCAAATACCAAACTTCTTCATCCCTTGTTATACCAGCACCAATTGCATTGCTAGCATAGAACATAGTTGGTGCAGCTTCCACTTGGGTAGCATAGTTAACATGCTGTGCTGTTTTCTTGCTATAGCAATCTTTTGCAATGTGGCCGAACATATCACAGTTATAACACTTTAGCTTGCCCTTGAATCGACACTAACCAAAATGTAACTTACCACAGTGCTTGCAGGGAGTTTTAGTGCCTTCACTTGTCTTGTTATCCCACTTCTTGCCTTTTGACTTCCAATTCTTATGCTGCTTATTGTTCTGATCTCCAGTTTTAACCGGTTTAGCATCTACACTAAGGCTAGCAAATGCCTTCTCTATTCTGTTTTCAGAATGTCTTTCTAACCTCAATTCAAAACTCTTTAGTGAGGCTACTACCTCCTGCACCTCAATTTCATTCAGGTCTCTCGAGTGTTCAATAACTGAGCAGATAGAGTCATAAACACGTATTTGGTTAATCACATCAAACAATTTGGTAATGTAGGCAGACAAAGATTCATCATCTCTTATTCTAGTATACTCAAACTCCCTACGCAGACTTTGTAATTTGACATTTCTTACCTGTTTGTCACCTCGAAATTCTTGCATCAAGAGATCCCAAGCTCCTTTAGAAGTTTTCTTCATGAGAAATCCGGGGAAAAATCTCATCAGATACTGCCCCTTGAATCAGCCCCAATGCCTTTGCATCTTTCATTAGCTTCTCTGTTTCAGAACCACTCGAAACATCCCTTTTCATCTTCTGCTCACCAGATTCACCAGCTCCCTTCGATTCTTCCTTTTCCTTCTTCTTTGCAACAGATTCATCAGCTCCTCTCGAATCTGACCACTCTAATCCCTTTTCAACTAGATCCCATAATCCATGAGACTTGAAGATGGTTCTCATCTTTATGCTCCAAAACTCATAATTATCGCCATTGAAGATTGGCACTCTCACCTCCCTTCCAGATCCAGCCATGTTAGACGCAGACCTTCACACACTAGCTTCAAAACGCAGCTTCTTCACAGAATCGAACACCCAGTGCAATCGATCAAACCTGGCTCTGAGGCCATGTTAGAATACATAGACTATTATCTTGTATTTTAATTCTTAGATGAGAAAATGATAGTGTAGGGGCTTTTTTTCTTCCGGCAGCTACTACGGGCCTGACTGCCGTAAAGGGCAAAATGAAAGAAATTGCCCCTTGAGCCTGAGTTCGAAAATTAAGCCCCAAAATACCTCGAAAAGGCAGTAGAGCCTTA